ATGACAGTTTTTTTTATATTACGTATTTTTGTAGTTTCCTTGTTTAATAAGTTGCTTTATTATGTAAAATAATTAAAGATAAATTGTTAATATTATTGTTTCCGCTGGGGGTCTCCGGCATAACAACTAGCTTCATTGCAACTAGCAATTCCATTAGTGTTGTCTTGTTATCGGTGATAAATCAAGAATTATAGGAGCCAACATCTTCCCTTCTTCTTCTTTTTTACCTACGAACTCATATAATTTTTATAATAACGTCTGCTCAGTTTATATTCATTTTTAAAGAAATTTGTAATGAACAATACTTACTTGTAGTGCTGCCCGAGTGGCTGTTTCAAATACTTCCCTAATACCTTCCTTACTTTTAGCAGAACATTCAAGATAAGCAAAAGCATTGATTTTTTCAGCCATAGCTCTTCCTTCTTCTGGCTTAACTGGTTCTTGTTTCATCTTGCTAAGTTCTTTGATAGTATTAGGATCATTGCGTAAGTCTTTTTTGTTTCCAACAAGGATAATGGGCACATTTGGGCAAAAGTGCTTCACCTCTGGTGTCCATTTCTCAGGAATGTTTTCCAGGGAATCTGGACTATCAATAGAGAAACACATTAAGATTACATCTGTGTCAGGATATGATAGTGGACGCAACCTATCATAATCTTCTTGTCCAGCTGTGTCCCAAAGAGCCAGTTCCACCTATTATAGATATTTTTTTTATCATATTAAGAAAAAAATATAAATACATTAAATATATAAAAAATTTCTTTATATATTCACCTGTTTCCCATCAACTTCAATATCCGCAACATAATTTTCAAACACAGTAGGTACATAAACTTCTGGAAATTGGTCTTTGCTGAAGACTATAAGTAAGCATGTTTTACCACAAGCACCATCACCCACAATAACCAATTTCTTTCTAATGGCTGCCATGAATTCTAAAATATAAATCATTATATATTTTTTTATTAATATTCAAACATATTCTAAATTAGAATTCTAATTTTATGTACATAATTTTAATCTCAATATATATATATAATTTTAATAAATATATCTATTAATGCAAAATTTAAAAAAATTTTAAAATCACTTCATATGAATTACAAATTTTTATTTACATAATTTAAAAATATTTAATATCTTGTCATATTTAATATAAATGCTTTAGAATTCTTATAATAACTTACCTAGATAAATAATATCACAATGTTATGTAATATAATTATTTAAATAAAAATGAGCATTTTTAATTTTAAATATTATTACCTCTTTTTGTTAATAATAACTAATATATACAGAATATATATGTTTAATTTTACATATATATTAATAATAATAAAAATACACACCTAACTATTAGTTTATATATGTATTTATATATGTATATATATAAAATGAAAAATTTAGTATAAATACTAGTGTAGAAGTCATTTTACAATTAATTTTATTATATGATTATATGATTATAAACTTTAATTGTAATTTAATACAATATAAATGAAAAGTATCTTAACAGTTATTCAGATATGACTGATAATGAATCTAAATCGATTGAATTAACATTTTGGAAACACCATCTAAAATTAATTCAACTAAAGGCATGCAGTGAGTGAACACATAATACACATAAGATAAGATAATTACAACTTAATGGGAAATGCAATGAATATTTGAAAAGATGTAAATAATATCAATATTAAAGAAAACTACTTTTCCTACACCTTAATAAGGCATAAATAAATAAAAAGCAATTTTAAATAGATAGATCTAAATTTAAACAGATATAAAGAAAATAGTGAAAGAGATTAAGAAAAAGCATTCTTCAGGATAGAGTTAGGAAGAAGTCAGGGTAATCTTTTGAAATTGTTCAGTTAAATTCACCTCCTCACAATGCTATAAACAGTGACTTGAATTCAAACCTCGTAGGGTATAATATTTGTCATCTGAAAGTATTGTATTCATTTATATTTAAATAGAATACTAAATTGATACTAGCATTACAAATACAATAGCATATACTTTCTACAGCCCTCTGTTTGTAATGTAATTTTATTGCTAAAAATTGTCTCTAATTTCATAATTATCTGCTACTTACATAGTGGGTATATAGGTAATATTTTTTAAATATATCTATATTTCATATCTACTTTAATACTATTTATAGAAAGCAACCTACGAGGGCTGAAAATTGAAAGGATATTGATTGGATCATACCTGATCCAGGGTACCCCGTATCGTCTGGACCGAGGCATCGGCCCGTATTGCATCCCATGTTTTTAGTCTTTCTTTCAGCGTCTCTGCTTTAAGTGGACATTTTATATGTTAGAATGGATAAAAGGCTGTGAGATTTGCATGTACTACAGATGTCATATATATAATATTATATTATATACATATATATATATATATGTAAATATGTATGTATATGTTTTATTTCAATCATAATGTATTTAAATATCTGTAAAAATATTAATAATACTGTAATCATAATGGCACCTTTATGATTTTGATTCATAACTCTTTCCTTCCGATATATATGAAAATATGTACACTACAAGATTCTGCAAATGCCAAAGACTAAATATAATGTGAATTTAATATTATCATAGTGTTATCATAATGACTTCATATGCACATTTAAATCAAAGATTACAGAATTCTGAAGTACATAAGGTAAAGCTTTAAAAATTATATGTAAGAAAGGAAATATATCTCACATGTTATTTAAATCATATATAAAGATTTTTATATACTATTATGTTATATATGTAAGAGAATACCTTATGCCTTGAGAAAAAAATGTTTTTGAAGAACATGCATAGACATATAAGAATGATACTTTTTTGTATTAAGCATGCACTATTAAGAAATATGTATAAAAAAATTATTTTTAAGAAGCAAAAATAAAATATAATATACAATACATTCATATTATACATAGACAAGATGTATAAAATTTTAATTAAATAAATTGTATTTCTTTATTTATAAAAATCATAAATTTGTTCAGATAATGATAAATATATATATATAAATTCAGTATATATAAATTCATATATTGCAATATGCTTCAAAATATTATAATTTTTTAACATGAAATCTTATTCATTAAGATATTATTTTATTAGATTATAAATGTATTTTTTATTTCATTTCTTTTTAATTTTTTAGTTTTAAATATTTATTAAATATTTATATTTTATATAGATATATTCATTAATATAAAATCATAAAAGATTTAAAACTTTTTATAAATCAGAAGCAAAAATTTTAATCATATAATTTATTCTATGAGAAAAGCAATGAAAAAACTTGAATATATTAATATTAAAACAATACAATAAATTTTTAAATTTTATATTTCATTTGTTGTAAAAATTATTAATTACATAATATTATAATTTATTATTTTAATATTTCACAAATTGAATTAGTTAAATTTGAATTTTTTTTAAATTCAGTATAAACTATATATATTATTTTTTAAAATTATTTATAATACATATAAAATATTTGAAATATTTTTTATATATGTATATATATTTTTTATACATGTATACATTATATATATATAGATTGAAAAAATCGACATATTTGTTTAATATTTTTATTAGTCACGAAATTTTGATGAAATCATTCTAAAGATATAAAATGAAAAAGTGAGTAAAAAATATGCTATAAGATATAAAAAAATTTTATAAAAATATAAATAGAAATGTGAATTTCTATCATCAAAAAGCGTACCGACCTTTTGTTTATTGTAGCTTTGAGATATCGGTTGACAGAATAAACGATGACAAAGGAATGTCAAAACGAAGCCGTGACATAAATTTTTACTTACTAGGTTTCCGGACTGGGACTCGGAATTTTTTGTCGAATTTTGCACAGCCGGAAGTGCATTGCCGAAAGGTGGTGGCGGAGGGGGATAAAGCCAGAGAGGGGAGAATGGGGGCGCTGAAGGTGCGACAGGATAGCGACGCAGGGGTTTAGAGCCTAAGGGACGATTTACATACTGAATTAAAGCCCAGGTCGTATTTAAACTGGTACAAACGATCCCAAATCAGTGATTGAATGCAGTCACAGCGTGTAGCTTCTTGTATGTTGAATTAAACAGTCGTCATGCGAAGATGCTGTGGATTCGTAACGCATGGCACTCCCTCGGCCCTCTCTATCGCGGGAGGAGGAGAAGGTTTTTTTCCCTCCTTGACACACAGAGTTCCCGGTTGCGCCGTTAACAAAGCGATATGTAGCACGCTTAAACCATTCGAGCACACAACACAGTACACTCTCACACCACTCTAATCAGTATTACTTAAGAAATAATTGCGTATTTACCTGAAATGCTAAGCGACAGAAAGTCAAGAAGATGGCTGCCCTCGATGGCCACACCTCAATCTGTGAGTGTGCGGCAATCGAGTAGTAAGGAGGGGCATTATTCTCAGGATCGTATTGAGGCTTTAAAAGTACCCTTTCCTAGGAATTTACAAAATATTATCAGACTTTCGATATATATAAATTTTTATATAAATTTTTTACAAATTGTATAATGATAATTATAAAATAATAATTTTATATATTTTTTATATTATTCAAATTGTATATTAATAAAATTTTAAATAATTGAAATTGAGTATTGTATAATTCTTAGTAGAATGTTGTATAATTTAAATTATTAATCATTATAATTGCATAATTAAAAAAAAAAGAAAAATATTAATGTTTATTAATTTCATATTAATTAACAAATTTATGAGCTTACATTATAGTAATTTTTATATAGTGGTTTTATCTATAATAAGAGTATTATAATATTAAAAAATTATATGTATAATATTTAAAAAATAATTTTTTTGTTACATATTTAAATAAAAATATGTTTAATATAATAATTTTTCTTTAAAAAGAGAGATGTTTAATTTATGCATCATTTAATAATACGTTCCTAGATAATACTATAAAATCAACGAATCATGTGTCATCATATATTAGGAATCTAGAGGGATTTTATGTATACAACAGTGTTTCTTAAACAAAAAAATTGCCAATGCGGGATAAAATGGTTGTTAGCAACATACAAATAAAAATAGGAGAATGATATTCCACGTAATGAGAAGCTTACTATAGCAATGGTTTATTCAATAAAATCAGATGATTTAATTAGATAATATTATTATAGATAATATTATTTTTTCACTTCTCTATTCTTTTATGTTATTGTCAGCCATTTTGTTTCATAATTGGCAACTTTTTTTCTTGAATATATTTGTAGATGAATAATGGGAAGGGTTGAAAATTATATAAATAATGCTGTATCAGTTTCATCATTCAGTGTTTTTATAATGTGAAAAGAATTATATTAACTTTATAGTCATAAAATAACTAAGAAACTGATGAAACAAGTGAAATGATAAAATATATATTTAAATATATATAAAATTATATATTTTTGCAATCGAATGCATTTAAAAATTTTTTCAATTTTGTTAATGTTATAAATGTTATCTTCCATTAAAAATAAATATAATAAATTATAGTTATAATTCAAGTATTGTATTTTATAGATTATTTTAATTATAGAGAATTTAAATATGTCTAAAAAATAGGATTAATAATTTAATCAATACAAGAAAAAAAATATTGTTTTATTATTATATAGTAATTTTATCATTATCATCTCTAAATAATTTAACAATTCCATTAATTATAATTTAATAATTCTATTAAAATTGAGAAAAATAATATGTGTATGTGTGTGTTGTGTTTTTATAAATATAAGTAAATTATTAGTGCAAGAAAAGAAAGAAAAAAAAGAAAAGACAAAAAAAATGAAATATTAAATCAATGGCAATAATTATTTTGTAAAAGTGAATGATATGTAAGATATAATATTAATAATTATAAATTTGTATTTGTCAGATTGTCAAAAATTAGAACATAAATATAAAAATTTATGTGATAAATTTGCCAATTATGAAATAAGAATAATGTTGTTATAAATATATTTATTTATATCTTATTAATTCTATAAAATTTAAAAGAAAAAAAATAACTCAAATTTCTGAATTTCATATTTTTTAAAAATATAATAAAATTTAATTGATCAAAATTGTAATTTTTCGTTGTTAACTAATTATAAATAATTATCTTATTAAATTTTTATATTATTATAATATCTTAGTTGCAGAAATAAATAAAGAAATTAAATAAAGAACATATTTTGAAAATATTTAATAATATAATTTGTTATGTATTTAGAATGTGTTTAATTATGTACATTTTTCTGTAAAGCTAACGCTGTAACTTTTTAAATATTTTGAAATTTTTTAGTAATTTCTAATATAACTAGTTTATGAACAAAATAGTTATTAGAAAAAACACTATAATATTTGATAAGAAACGTAATTCCATTTAGTTTTTAAATAATAACAATAATTTATCATATAGAAAATAATTTTAAAAGCTAAAAAATATTTATACTATATATCAATTAGAATAGATTGAGAGTTATTTTATATGACATAAAAAGCATCAATTATATTCTGAAATGTTCTCATTCATAAAATATTCACTATATTTTGGTATTTATTATTTAATCTTCACATATCAAATGTCATCAGCACACATTCAAAAGATAAATTGTTATTTAATAATTAAGTTATAGGAAAATTTCTATCATATATATTATATGAATATCATATATATATATATATATATAT